GTCTTTATCAATACATCTTAATGAGGTGTGTCCGAATTTTTGGCATCTATTACAATGCATTGGCTTTTGGAGGTCTTACTTGAACACGCTCATAACCGACATTGACATATTCAGGTATTTTATTCAAGGCAAAGGTAAAAAAACACAGTCCAGTTTTCGTTCGCATATTCCCGTCCTTCTTGGTCATACAATGAACGTCCACTACGTCTTGGTCCTTCATGCTCTCAAGAATTTCACTTTCTCCCATCGTCCTCAAATCCCTGTGAAAGATTACTCCCTTACAGGGATTTGGGCCAATGGGAATAGTTACTTTAACTCGAAGATCATGAATTTGCGTCAGCTTAAGTAAATCCTTAATCTGGGAGTTGTATTGTACTTTAACAAGGAGGTTTCCATCTCGCAATTTTTGACAAAATCAAAGTCGCCGTCCACTTGACCATCAAGGACCTTTTTGATGATAAAGGGGTTCACGTTCAAAAGCGACTGATTTTCATTCACGCATTTTACATTCGCGAACCTTGCATTCTGGGTGGGGATCTTAAAGAGTTGTCGTCTTGTTTTGTCGTTAGTGGGGGTACCATTGTTTATAGTCGAATTAGTCTTAGAAGGGTCGTTAGTTGTCCCCCCTCCTTGAGGAGGAGAAGGGGTAGCCGGGGTATCACTCATACTGGATATCGGACCAGGTCCGACCCCTTGTCTCACAAATGTTGTCCTGAAGGGATCAAAAACTCTTAACTTTTGGTATCAACCTAACAGCAATAGCTAAGAGAGTAAGGCAGTTAAACGTCCTCTACCCTCTCAATGGAAGCCTGGCTGCGTTCTCCAGTACCACAGAGGGATCGAGTTATGTGTGGGACACCTTATCAGAGTTTCGACCACGAGTGTGAAAAAAGAAGCTCTCCGTCGCCTTCGAATCTTAAAAACTCTATCCCATATATCATGGGGCTCAGATCGCAAAACTCTCCTTCATCTTCATGTTACTTTGATCCTCTCCACTCTTGATTATGGATGCCATATCTACTCCTCTGCCTCAACTTCTCTCCTTGCCCATCTTGATACAATCCATCACTGTGGTCTTCGCTTAGCACTAGGTGCCTTCCGCTCCTCTCCAGTTGAGAGCCTGTACACTGAATCAGGCATACCATCTCTATCTCGACGTCGTGCCCTTCTCTCTCTCCGATGTTATGTTCGATTTCACCAACTTTCCCTCACTAAACTAACTATCCCACAATCCCTACTTCCTACCTTAGCTTCATCTCCATGTTTACTTACACCTTTCTCCACTCGCATGGATACCCTTCTCTCCCATTCCCCATTCCCCCATCTCCAACCTCTCCCGTTCTCTGTCCATTCCGTCCCTCCATAGCTTATACCTCACCCCCATATTTGCTCTTCTGTTTTCCCCGACCCACCAAAATCAAATATTCCTCCTGCTGTCCTCACCCATTTCCTTGACCATGTCTCCACTCATTCCTCTAGTATTCACGTATATACTGATGGGTCCAAATCCACCTCCAGTGCTGGTTTTGCAGTAATCTTCCCACTCGTACTTTCAAATACTCCCTTCCTCCTGAATCCAGTGTCCTTACTACAGAACTATATGCACTCCTTTTTGCCCTAAAACATATATTCTCACTCTCTTCCTCTTTTACAATTTTTACTGACTCCCGTAACTCATTAACTCTCATAAAGTCAATACACACCACCAACGCCCTTGTTTGTAAGATCCAGAACTGGCTGTTCTACCTGTCCACATGGCATAAAACAATCAAATTTTGCTGGGTACCCAGCCATGTTGGAATCCCGGCAATGAACAGGCAGATACACTAGCACGCCACGCCGCTATGTCCACATCATACCAACCACGCTTCTCACGTATCCCAGCCACGGATTATTACCCACACTTTAAGACCTTCTTGTATAACCGATGGCAATCTTTTTGGTCAAGCCTCCGCACTAATATATTACATTCTGTAAAACTATCAATCTCCTCCTGGTCAGCTCCATTTCATGCTTACGCATTGGCCACACCCGTCTAACACACACCTATCTGATGTCACAATCTGATCCACCCCTATGTTCCTTATGTAATGTTCCCCTTTCAATCCCACACATCCTATTGTCGTGCCCACGCTTTGAAGCAGCCCGTACCTCTGCTTTCCCCCACCTATCCTCCCTTCACCGACCTCCCAACCTATCAGACATCCTTACAGAATCCCACACTTTCTGCTTCAACAACCTGTTCTCTTTCCTCAAACGCATACATATCCTTCATCTAATCTAACTCCTTACCACACCCGACCTTAAACCTTTCACTCACCAATTCCTTTGCCCAGCTTAGACAACTAATCAGTAACTCAACCATCCTTCACTAACATTAACTATAGTGCTACATGGCCTTAGATGTCTAGCACATTTATCTTGCTTTTTAGCCATTAACCATTACCTCCAAGTCGCTAATGAATTGGGAAACTATTTCAACCAGGTCAGTAGTAGTTCTCACCTTTCTCCACACTTCTCTTCTATTAAGACCATCAGGGAACGTACCCCCATTATCTTCACCCTATCTCCGCTGAGTCCTATAATGCTCCTTTTTTCTTCCTCTGAACTCAGTGCTGCCGTACAGTCGTGCCGCAACACTCATGAAGGCCCTGACGGTTTACACTACCGTATGCTCCGGCAACTCCCATCTTCCTCCTTATCTTTCCTATTAACAATTTACAACCACATATGGATATCAGGAAATTTTCCTTCACATTGGCAAGAAGCTCTTATACTCCCCTTCCTAAAACCCAATAAATCGGGTACCCTCCCTCAAGACTATCGGCCCATCAGCACTAACTAGCTGTTTGTGCAAACTATTAGAGCGAATGGTGAACTTCCGCTTAATGTGGTATCTTGAATCTCACAATCTTCTCTCTCCTTCCCAGTTTGACTTCCGCCGTGCCCGAAGCACAGCTGACCCCCTTGTTCATTTTGAGACATGTATTACATCTGCACGCCATGAATCCGTACTAGCTATATTCTTTGACCTAGAAAAAAGCATATGATACTACATGGCGGTACCATATTCTACAACAATTGTCCTCTCTAGGCATACGTGGAAACATGGGTGTCTTCATAACGTCTTTCCTCTCCCAACGCACTTTCCAGGTCAAAATTGCCTCTGCCACATCATCCTTCTTTCGAAGGCGTCCCACAAGGCAGTGTGCTCAGTACCACTTTACTCCTTCTTGCTGTTAATGACATTGTTATCACTATATGTTGATGATTTAACCATCTGTCTCTGGCACATCCATACCAAATCTCTGACTGACAAATCTTCAGACTGCAATATCATCAGTATCTTCCTGGGCCACAGGAATAAACGGTCAACCATAATACTATTCTTCATATTAACCCAGCTACCACAGATTAACATTCTGTCCCTTGTAGTGTTTGTGTATTTTGTTATAAACAGATGGCTCCACATGTGCTCAGCTAGGAAGGAGTCTATTAGTAGGCCCTAGTTACCGATCCTGATTTCCCATTCCTTAAATTGGCGGGTAATTGTGTTTTTCTTTTTAATATAATTGATATCGATACTGTTATTATTGTTATGATTGTTAAATTGTTATTCAAATCTTGGTATCATTTAAGACAATGATATAATATAAAAGACCCTTTCCAAAAGTCAAGAAAAAAAGTAAACAGGTGAGATAGGTAGGACTAATAACGGACTCATTGGTGATTTAGCACTTACAGGTGTAAATACAATAAATTAGCATATGTTACAGTGGGCATGGCATGTATTCTGGTCTTCCGTGCCTACTAGGTTAAGGACAACAGAAGTATATGCCACCAACATATTTATATTTTCTCTAGGGAAACAAGTTTATTAGGGAAAAAAAGTAAGTACACACACACACACACACACACACACACACACACACACACCACACACACACACACACACACACACACACATACACACACACATATATATATCATTGTGAAACAGTTATTAACGCTGGAAAAATGCAGAGCATCTTACATTACTAAATGTTGTTTTCTGATCCAATAAAGAAACAAATATTACTGATGTTTAAATACTAGAATTATTGAATAACTAGAAAAGAAAAAAAAAATCAGCATACATGGAAATGCAATGAGATACACTTGAGTGTTTGTTCCAATAGGCTATTCAAGATTTTGTTTAAACTATTACTGTCAATTATGATATACTATAGATGTTTCTATTTTTTAAATTTAACTTAAAATCTGGCCTTTAAGCGTACACAGCGACTCTCCCAGGCAAAGTCTAAAGACCTTGTTCCCTGATGTGTGGCTAGAACGCCCGGCCCACACGAACACTCACGCACGGTATCGAACAAGGTCTATAAATATCCTTGTATCGAGCCTCCCGGCCTCCGCGATTAGTTACTTTTTTGCAGACGCGATTCTCCTATATTGCAATTTTTCGAGATCCTTAATTGTAATTTGTTATGCTGTATCATGTTGACAATATACCGTTTTCATTGAGCAGACTCCATATTATCTCTGCATATAGTTTATCCTCTGTACAAAAATATAATTTACTCGCACTTTATCACAAGAGTACTAGATTCTTCTCGTTGTTTGCACTTCAAAGTATCTGTTCAAGTAGCTTACACAGCGCATGAATAAAGAACGTAATGTAGTTTCCTACAAAAACGCGATTTGGTTTTAAATTATCCGGTCTACATTTGTCATTTGTTATGCTTTATCATATTGGTAATATACTATTTTGTTGTTGAAAAGACTCAATGTTATAACTTCCAAATAGTTTACACTCTGTGCAATACAGGTAATATTGTGTCTGCGTTCTTCGTATTGTAAATTTTCTAAAATAAACATTCACCTATGCTATATCATACAGTAACCGACTGTTTTAGTTGATCACACTTCATATTACATCTCCAAATATATTACATTCTGTTCAATACAAGAAGCATCGTGCTAATGAAGGATAAACAAAGGTGTTTTATTATTATTATATCTATTTTATTATGTATGTACACCATGCACTGTTTTCAAGCGTATGGTAGGCCTAAAAACAATTGTACTGGCACAAGGTCACTTTACAATGGCCGCACATTGTGCGAGTCTCTTTACGCACACCTCAGGCGTAGCAGACTTTACAACACCGATAACATGGGCCAGGTGCTAGCACATGCGTATGCACATGATGTCCACCATGTAGACGGCCCTCTCCCAGGTATGGCCCACAAACGGTACTTTCCACCCTCGTGAACTGGTGGAAATCCGGCAGGATCTCGCGAACGAGCCCCTTCGTCCCTCCCAGTGCTTTGTGCACCAGGAAGGAATTGACGACCGCCGTCTCAATAAGTTTATAAAGGCCATTAGTAATCCACTTGATGTGGCGAGGGAGTCTCACGCCCAGAAGTCATGCTTGGCCTTCGAATACAGCGACATGAGGAGAAGCACCACAAACAGTGCGTTAACTTCCGCCGCTGCAGTCTCAACCCATGCGTTTAACTGAAAACAGAAGAAAAGGGATACAATATTGCTTACGATGAAGGAAACAATCCAGAGAAAAAATATGCAGGTATACAAAAATAAGCAGATGTAAGAAAAATGCTTACCTGTTTGTGCCCCGGACGATGACGTCATCCGGGCAGTGCCGAAGCAGTGATAGATTTTCGCGGACGAGGAAGAAGCGTCCAGGTCAGGAACATTAACCCCAGGACCGAACTCTTCGCAGAGTTCGGTTGCCATAAGCCGCTGAGCGAATGCAGACAGTGGCTCATCGGAGTCAAGATTGGTGTCATGTGACACGTAATCTATATCCGAGTCTGAAAAAAAAACATTATAAACAAAATGAATCTGAAGGTAACTTACCGAAGTGGAAGGCCGAAGATCGTCTAGGGGGGGCAACAGAGGAGGATTGCTACAGACAAGTGCTTGCACTTATATATATATATATATATATATATATATATATATATATATATATATATATATATATATATATATATATATATATATATATTAGATATTTTTTCACGGTTCTACGATCCCTACCATTTGCCGCAGCCAATAAAAGCATTCCTAATTCCTTGAAAAACATCTGACTACGCAATACCCCGATATCCCCCATCACTTCCCACGTTCCCCACCCACCATCTCACCTTCCCCCATCCCCCTCATCCTACTACCTCCATCCCCATTCCCCTCTCACCTTCCTCCATCACCCTCCCCCTCCCCTCCCACCTTCCCCCATCCCCCTTACACCTTCCCGATCCCCTCCCAACTTCCCCATTCTTCTATCTGTCTGTCTCTCTCTCTTATGAAAAAAAAACCACCTCCTACAGTGGTTTCCCAAGACAGGATATTTCCGTCAGCCACCCTTCGGGCCAATTTTTTCATGACGGGATGTTCCTATAACCTGCCTCTTATCTACATTTGTTCATGACGTGATAGTAAACTCAACTGCTTCTTTGGTAGTGTGATAAGGCCAGATCAAGCAGAAAGTTATCATAAAGCCTTTATAGAGAAATGAGGTAAAGCAAATTTTAATCCATTATTTTACTAGAATTTACCCAGACAGTAAATCAAATCTAGTAATATATTGATAATCATTTGTGATTTCTAGTGATTGCGATGCAGGGACATGAGAGGGTTGTACTGCTGCCTTGTCAACCATCTGTTTCTTCATATACTTGCCCACAAAACAAGAAAGAATAGTGAAAACATGTCTCACATATGAGAAGCTGGCTACTGTTAATTTTCTGGCCATCTCATCAGATAGACACATGTCACTTGGTTTCAAGTATATATAAAAAACCTATCTGATATAAATAAAATTCTAGAACTGTTCCTTCTCTTGGTAGGAATATTTGGAACTCAATAATTAATTAAACACTTTATTTGGGTAATAAACAGACTTTCAATCAACTATATTTTACATTTAAAATTCTGTAAATTTGTCAAATTTTCAACAAATATGGGATTAGATTCCATTCCCGAGTGCAATCACATGATGAATAATACTAGCTTTAATTTTATGAGACAGTCACAAGAGAGTTTGTCTTCATATATTCCTGTAACTTTCTTATCTCAAGTCTTGGATCCTTGTCTGTAAGCTTTGAGCACTGTAACAGAGGAAAAAATATTGTTGAGTATACTTTTTATTTCTTCAATTAAGTATAAAAGAAATACATCAGCAGTAAGTAGTGCTATGTGATAACTTAGCTGTGTCAAATGACTTACCTGACAAACTTCACGCAATTTTAGAGCATCTGGCATTTGCTCATCTATCCTCGCTTGTCGACTGCTGTTTGATGGATGGGTTGACAAAAATGCTGGGACAGAATCTGTTTCCATGCCTACCTGCTTTCGTATTTCTTCTTGTAAACACAATTTACCCCAAAATGCACTTGCTTCTCTAACATCATAGCAAGCCTGAAACATATATACTTTTAGAGAAGAAATATATATATATATATATATATATATATATATATATATATATATATATATATATATATATAAGCAATTTATTAATGGATATTACTCACTTTTAGCAAAACTGCACATGCTGAAGAGGTATAAATATCTAATTCTAGGACTAAAGAACAAAGAAAAACAATGTAATTAAGAACAATGAAAACCATAAAAGAAGGAAAAGAAAGAGAAGAGAAAGAAGAACAAGATGAGAAAAGAAAGAAAGAAAGAAAAAAAAAGGAAATAGCATGAGAAAAATTAGGAAGAAAGAGAAAAACAAGAAAAAATATAAGAAAAAAAGTAAAAGAAAAATAAGGAGAGAAAAATAGGAAGAAAAAGAAAAAAGAGGAAAAGAGAAGATAAGAATAGGAAAAGAGGAATCGAGACAAAATGATACAAGACAAGAAAAGAAAAGAAAAAGGATGAGGAGAATATGAATGAAAATGAGAATGAGGAGAAAGAGAATGGGTAAAAGGAAATGGAGAAGGAAGAGGAAGAGGAGGAGGAGGAGGAAAAGAGGAAGAAAACTGCAGCCTCACCTTTGCAGCTAATTGCAACCCAACAGAATCTGCTTCATCTTCTATACTTCTTGAGTAAGGCAACTTCAGAAGCACTTCAACAACTTTAAGAAGGAACCAGTGAGTAACAACAGCAATACCATCACTTGGTAAAAAAGCCCAAATGACTGCCAAAGGCAACAGAATGAGGGTGTCAAGAAGATATCCATGACTCAGCTGTTCAGCCTGCAATGCAAAATATGTATAAGTTATAGTGTTGTTATGAATGACAAAATACTACTGTGTTAATACAAAGACAGAAGAAAACCTAAAATCTATTTTAAATATAGTGTTTATTTCTGCCAGTGTAGAGTGTACTATCCAAGGAAAAATCCAAGTTTAAATGGATGTCAATGCACAAAAGACAAATATCACTAGACACTCACAGCATGTTCAAGTATAGCATGACTCATCTCATGTGCAAGAATCATAGCTAATTGGTCATCATTCTCAAATAAGTTCATCATTCCTCGGAACATAATGATGTCACCACTCTGGAAGGAGGCAAAATTTTAAAAATATTCTTAGACATGAAAACTTCCTGCACACAAATGTCCAGTAAAAAGAACAGTATTGCTGATCATATTTTAAAGGAGGAGGAGGAGGAGGAGGAGAAGGAGGAAGTGAAGAAGAAGCAGGAAGGAGGAGGAGGAGGAGGAGGAGGAGGAGGAGGAGGAGGAGGAGGAGGAGGAGGGAGAGGGGGAGGAGGAGGAGAAGGAGGGAGAAGGGGGGGGGGAGGGGAGGAGGAGGAGGAGGAGGAGGGAGGAGGGGGGGAGGAGGAGGAGGAGGAGGAAGTGAAGAAGAAGCAGGAAGGAGGAGGAGGAGAGGAGGAGGAGGAGGAGGACGGAGAGAAGAAAGGAGAAGGAGGAGGAGAAGGAGATAAAGGAGGAGGAGGAGGAAAGGAAGGGGAAAGAGGAGGAGGAGAAGGAAGAGGAGAATGATGATAATGACGATGATGATGAGGAGGAGGAGGAGAAGGAGGAGGAGGAGGAGGAGGAGGAAGAGGAGGAGGAGGAGAGGAGGAGAGGAGAAGGAGGAGAAGGAGGAAAAGGAGGAGGAAGAGGAGGAGGAGGAGGAGGAGGAGGAGGAGGAGGGAGGAGGAGGAGGATGAGGAGGAGGAGGAGAGGAGTAGGAGAAGGAGAAGGAGGAGAAGGAGGAGGAGAAGGAGGAGGAGGAGGAGGAGGAGGAGGAGGAGGAGGAGGATGAGGAGGAGGAGGAGGAGAAGGAGAAGAAGGAGGAGGAGGAAGAGAAGAAGGCAGAGGGGGGGGGAGGAGGAGAGGGAGGAGGAGGAGGAGGAGAGGGAGGAGGAGGAGGAGGGAGGAGAAGGCAGAGGAGGAGGAGGGGAGGAAGTGAAGAAGGGCAGAGGGGGGGGGGAAGGAGGCGGAGGAGGAGGAGGATGGAGGAGAGGAGAAGGAGGAGGAAGGAGAAATGGAGAGGGTAGGAAGAGGAGAAGAGGAAGAAGAGGAGGAGGAAGAGGAGGAAGAGGAGGGAAGAGGAGGGGAGGAAGAGAAGAAGGCAGAAGGCGGGGGAAGAGTGGAGGCAGGATCGAGGAGGAGAGGAGGAAGGAGGAGGAATGAAGGAGAGGAGGAGGAAATGAAGGAACGAGGAGGAGAAGGAGAAGAAATAAGAAATGAAAGAAAGAAAAAAATATAAAAAGAAAGAAAGATATATGCTATCATGTACATCAATAAGTTTTGTAGCTTACAGGCAAAACTAAACAATTCTCTGTAGGATCATCAATAACTGTAACAGTCCACACTTTAGTATAGAGCTGAGGAATCTTGTTGTTGGCTTGCAATAGCCGGTTACCCACTCTGCTTACTCGTGTGACCATTGGATGATCAGCTGGCATCTTTTGGTTTGCAAACTGAGCCATTTCCTATGGAAAAAAAGACTAATTTTGAATCTTTCCTTAAATGTCCTTATATAACAAATGTCACAATTTTGTAATTGGTAATCAATAAACTTTACTTTACTGTTAACAAGAAAAATGCAGAAAACTGATTATAGCAAGTTAAATCTTATATTTATCCTACAACATCCCTTTTATCATGATTCTCTTCTCATTATACAAATATCTTTAATCACAGAAAGTTACAGATTTAAAGCTCAGACATCTAAGTAATTATCAATAGCTCTGAAACATAATGGAATATGTAAAAAAAAAAAAAATCATCTTAAAAATACAAATGATGAAATGAAACCTCCAAGCCATCAAAAATTATTCTTCGGACATAAAGTCTAAACAGTGAATTATCTATGCCACAATTAGCAAAAAAGTTTAGAAATGGTTTCAAATCTCTCACAGCTACTAATAAAATATAAGCCCTTCCCCTAAAATTCTACTCCGTGAATACGTTACCTCATGATACATTTCTTGTGAGATGGTAAACAGCTGATTTGGAGTGAAGACCATGAACCTCTTTCTTCCTGTGAAAGGTGTGGTGGTGACGTGGTTTGCATAGTAGTTATATCCTGAACTACCAACTAGGATGGACCCAACTATAATAGAAGAAATACAAATATGTAAAAATATGGAAAAGGGAGGGAGGGAGAGGAAAAGAGAGAGACTCACAGAGAGAGAAACAGAGACAGAGAGACAAAGGGTGAGAGAGAGAGAGAGAGAGAGAGAGAGAGAGAGAGAGAGAGAGAGAGAGAGAGAGAGAGAGAGAGAGAGAGAGAGAGAGAGAGAGGGGGGGGGGGGCAAGAGAGAGAGAGAAAGAAAAAGAGAGAGAGAGGAGAGAGAGAGAGAGGAGAGAGAGAGAGAGAGAGAGAGAGAGAGAGAGAGAGAGAGAGAGAGAGAGAGAGAGAGAGAGGAGAGAAAAGGGTGAGAGAGAAAGAGAGAGAATAGGGTGAGAGAGAAAGAGAGAAAAAAGGGTGAGAGAGAAAGAGAGAAAAAAAAAGGGTAAGAGAAAGAGACAAAGAAAAAAAAAAAGCTTGAGGGAGAGAGAGGGGGGGAGAGGGGGGGAGTGAGAGAGAGAGAGAGAGAGAGAGAGAGAGAGAGAGAGAGAGAGGAGAGAGAGAGAGAGAGAGAGAGGAGAGAGAGAGAGAGAGAGAGAGAGAGAGGGGGGGGGGGGGGGCAAGAGAGAGAGAGAAAGAAAAAGAGAGAGAGAGAGAGGGGAAGAGAGATGTGAGAGGAGAAGAGGAGAGAGAGAGAGAGAGAGAGAGGAGAGAGAGAATGAGGAAAAGGAAAGAGAGAGAGAGAGAGAGAGGCGAGAGGAGAGGAGAGGATGAGGAGAGATGAGAGAGAGAGAGAAGGAGGGAGAGGAGGGTGAGAGCGAGAGAGAGAGACAAAGAGGAAGAGGGAGAGGGAGGAGGGAGGGAGAGAGAGAGAGAGAGAATGGTGTGCGAGGATAGAGAGAGAGAGAGAGGGGTGAAAAAGAGAGGAGAGAGAGAGAGGAGAGAGAGAGAGAGATGAGAGAGAGAGAGAGAGAGAGAGAGAGAAGAGAGAGAGAGAGGAAGAGACGAGAGAGAGAGAGAGAGGGAGGGAGGGAGGGAGGGAGGGAGGAGAGAGAGAGAGAGAGAGAGAGGGAGAGGGAGAGGGAGAGGGAGAGGGAGAGGGAGGGAGAGAGAGAGAGAGAGAGAGAGAGAGAGAGAGGACAAAAAGAGAGAGAGAAACTGGGAGTACACAGGAGAGGGAGGGAGGGAGAGAGAGAGAGAAGAGAGAGGGAGAGAGAGAGAATGTTTGATATAACTTATAATTTTTTTTATATGCATTATCGCATTAAATCAATCAATGTCATATAGCATGAAAGCAAGGCTAAATCATATAAAATAATATATAAGATTCTGAATCATGTAGCCTTCTTTTAACCCACAGCCAGTGGGGAAATGAATTTAAAAAATGGGGAAACTGCTAGGCTCATTTTTCATATTTTTGTGAAATGTCTCTGTACATAGATGGCTCTACTAGTACTTAGCCACAAAGGAGTCAATTAGTAGATCTTGTGACCTTATCTGATTTCACCTTTCCATGAACTGGCGGGAAAACCATATTTTTTAATAGTGCTATGAATGTCAATGGGGTTATTTTTATTATAAACATTATAATTACTATAATGTTTTAAACATTAGTAACAGCAAAATAAAATATGGTAAACTACTTTCCTAAATCAATGAAAGGGTGAATTGGCAAGACAGGCAGTACTCTTAACTGGCTTATTGGTGACTTAGCACAAGTGTAGCCATCTATGTGTTAAAACAATTAAACAAGTAAACTCACCGCGGGTATGGCATGAATATCCGTGCCATGCCCATCGGTAATGGGTTAATGATTCAGTCTGTATGGCAGATACAATATTAACTATAAAACACCATTTTCAATATTCTATATGCCAAAACTGAGCAGATTTCAGTGGACTTACAAATATAAATCCTTATATTACGGTGTAATGCTGTATAAACAGTTCCCTTTTCTGCTTGGGTAGTGACTGCCACCATTTTCTGAAACCTCTGCCAACCAGTACTGCTGCCACCTTACTAACTGGTCGAAGCACAGCCACGAGCAAAGGATTGACATTCTGAGGTCTTCAATGCCAAAAAATAAAAGACATATTTAATATAAAAGAAGAAAATATATATATATATATATATATATATATATATATATATATATATATATAAAAATATATATATATATATATATATATATATATATATATATATATATATATATATATATATATATATATGTTAATTGTATACACTCAAAACAAAGCTTCCAGAAACAATGATAAAACAATCGTAATAATAATGAAAATACTGACAAAAGTATTTATACCTTGTTGTCTGAATTGCCCTTCTTGACTGGAGTCCAGGACTTATCTGGTTTGTTCTTCTACAAACAAAAGAGAAGGTCCTAAAGGATGCTGTTATGCCATATGAAAATGTAGTTTGTCTCCACCTTATGGGGCTTGATATCCCCATAAATCTGCATCTTGTTACAACAGAGCACAGCATTCAGCTAGGATCTGCCTTTCCTGAATTACAAAATCTGCAATCATTTTTATGGTAATCATGGTAATCTTGAAATATAACACTCACAATACTGCTGATATAAGAAATGCTTTCTGTACATATAGGAATTATCAAAATTATTTTAAAGACAGAAATTACTGCCTGAGTTACTCTATTACATTTCCATCTCTACAGATATTTTTCATTATTCATGGTGAAAGAAGATAGGGGCCTCATGAGAGTGAAAAAAGAACTCTTATCTCTATTGATGAAAAATAATATTCACAGGTTCAAACTATTTTTTTTTTAATCCTCTCTTCACTAGCTACACTGAGAGAGAAAGAAAGCAGAGAAAAACTATGAAGGATATTGGAACTAATAACTCGTGTACTTCCAATTACCATAGTTTGGAATGATGTTTGTATAAAATAAAGACTGATGATACACTACAAAATGCGCATGTAAGTTTTCAGGTACAATGAATACATTGTTGAAAAGATTTGCCACATAACTTAAAACTTATTTTTACAAACTTGAGATGCAGTCACTAATTTAATAATTCTAAGACTGATGAACATATCTAGTCAACTCATATCATATCCTTTGATATATGATTTCCTATAAACTGCTAGCTCCCTAGTTTGTTTGTTCTTCCAGCCCCAAATAAGGCCTGAATTTCAAGTTAAATTTTTTATGTCCATACATATACATATATACATATACATAAATACATATATACACATATGAATATACATATATATACACATATACATACATATAATATATATATACATACATATAATATATATATACATACATATAATATATATATACATACATACATACATACATACATTATATATATATATATATATATATATATATATATATATATATATATATATATATATCATATTTACACATGTACATATATACATACACACACACACATATACATATATACACACACATATACATTAACACACACACACACATTATACATATATATACACACACATATACATATATGCACACACACATATACATATATATACATATACAAATATATAATAATAATAATAAACAAATTAACATGGTGTCCATCCTGGAAGCAGCCCTTTCCCAGGCATAGTTAACAGATGGAAATTCCTGCTGAAGCTTGCGAACAAGCCCTTTTGTGAAGGCCTGCTGTGTTAATTTCGCTCTGAGCACTGTGTGCACTCATGACATGTTCACCTCATCTACACCATTTTTCATGACAAGACATCCATGTCACCCATATCCAACTTACTACATATTTATTTATTGAAAATTTTCTGCAGCATCAACATCTATGGACATCAGCAGTGTATACAAAACCTAGCAATAGGGTGGGGCTTAGCTCCACTGTGAAGGAAATTAGACAGATTTCCCAAGTTTCTCAACTGATTATTTTTTCTTCACCAAAGAATATGCACCTTAATGAAATTTCTGGTCACCCAGTTTCTATAACACTCTATGTTATTCTTCTTGCTTTACGCCGAGTGTCATTTTTCACAAAATCATCACTTACAGTTACATCAAAAACTTCCCTAATACACGATGTAGTTAATGTTAACGCAGAGAGTGGGAAATGGGTATTGTTGTCTTAGAGCATAAGAAACAGTCATAAATAACACAGGTATAGCTAGAGGGGGGGGGGGGTAGAGGGAATAAAAGGAAAGGAGGAGAGGTTAGGTTTGGGTTGGGCTTGTAAATTTTTTATGTTTTCACTTTTTCTTTCAACTAATATATGATGACTATACTGGTTGCCCGCAGCTGTTGGCTATTGCTTCTTAACAGAGCTCCCGCAGGTCCAGTCGGCGACAGCCCACCTGATGCACGACCGTTTATCTTGGGAGCAGAAGAGGAGTACGACGTGAGAGCCAAGTGGCTTTTGGTGCGGGGGTTTTGAAACCGCTTTTTTTAGCCGCCTTCCGTAGAGCAAGGAAAGTACCAACGATTGGGAGAAGCATTGTGCTAATTTACGTCATTGTTTAAATACCATCCGTCCAAAATTGGGGCACGTTTGCAAACTCACAGGGATGGCAATTTTTCGGATGCGTCATTTACGCCGTTTTCTATGATTGAAAAAAAAAGAAAATGGTATATATTTCCGGGGAAACTAGTATAGTAGAAACAAATATGAATTTATCGATTTATTATTAAAAAATAACAACAAAATAAACCTTGAAACACAAACTTCAACAACAACAACAAAATATATATATATATATATACAAACATTTTTGAAAGATATCTCAAATCAGGGAAATCATATCTTCGTGTGGTTTTGTTTTGCATATTCACTTAAATGAATAAGTGATTTAATAGTTTCTAATTTCAAACTGGACCTTTCTTTTCTTTTTATTAAATTAAATTTAGAAAACAGTCTTTCTACATCGGTGTTTGCCATTGGGAGTGCGAGAATTTCAAGGGCAAAATGCGCGAGGCATTCATATTTTAAATTGCCCAATGAGTCTTTAATTGTTGAAACATATTTATAGAAGGCTTCAATTTCACATTTCGGATCTTTATATTGTTCGGGAAACATTTCCCATGCTATATCTCGCCACTGGTCTGCGAGTGCCTGCATATTATAATTATTGATTCTTGGGACTTCTTTAGCCAGTTGTGTCAAAGATGGCACTGTAGGTCTTATATTCGTATTCATTATGTTTTTGGGCTGTAGGTACGATGCCATTATCCATAATGAATTTCCAAGATCAAACCTTTTTCTGATTTGGTCACAGACTGTTATTAGAAAGGCTCTGTACGTGGTTTTTATTTCGGTCATTAATTGATGGTTCTGGTATTGAGGGGTCTGGAAGAGGCTGTGGATATCCTCGCCGAGGTATATTTGTTGGACTGGCAAATGTATTGATGGGTCCGATGGATCTGCTTTATTGAGTTTTATTCCTTGTATTGATTGTGGCTGACAAAAATAATTAAGAAGTCTCAAATACAAATTTGAAATAATTTCGTGAGCCAAATGTAGAGTTGGACCTCTTGACTGGAATAACAAATTTACCTTGTTTAAGTGTGGTAAAATGTAATTTAAAAACCTTAAGTAACAATAAATTGCCTTGTTATCAAGGGCCTCGCAAATTTTATCCACCGATGCCAATCTTTCATCCAGACGAATGCCATTGAAATATAGTTTAAGTGGCTGCCACTGCTCAAGCACCCGTTCTACAGCTTGTGCTAAGGAAAGCCATCTTGTTGCACATGGATGCAAAAGCTTATGAGGCTTGACACCACAAAATGCCTAGTAATTTTTAAATTCATATTTCCTTTTGGCACTGTGGCAGAAAAAGTTGTAAACATTTCTAATCAAATCCTCACAATTTCTGGGAAGTGTTTTTTGCCGCTTCGCTGGAGCATAAATGTATGCTGTGAGCCACACATTTAAAAACGGTCATGCCAGGCATCTGTGCCTTCAACCTGCTGCTCACACTATTTACAGCTCCCATAATATTGGATGCTCCATCAGCAGCAAAGCCAACCATATTGTTAATGGGGATTTCATATGTATGAAGGGAGTTAAGGATTAATTTAAATAATGACTCTCCAGATGACCCATCATTTCCATCATGAACATTGATGAGGTCTAGCATGGCGGTTTGAATTTTATTTGTCTCTTTGTCAAAATACTTGACAACCAAGGCACATGCCTTGTCGGTGGAGCAGTCTGTTGTCTCATCAATAATCAAACTGAATTTATTTGTTTTGAGTTTGCTTGCCAATTCTTTACCTAGGAACTCCCCTAAATCCTTGGTAATTTGAGAACACTTCTTCCTTTTGATGGCCATTTGGGCTGCGATGGCGGAATCAGGAAACATTTTCCTGTTCAGCTCCAGAAGGTCATCACAAAGACTGGAAAGGAGAAAGGAAAAAAAAAATATTTCGAAATGATGATCAATGAACATATAACAAGATTTGTGGTAAACTCTGAGGTGCGACGGCCAGGTTGTGGTGAGACCAGTAGTGGGGGTTATACCTACTACTGGTCTGGCTGTAGCAATGGTGCGTGCCTTAGGGGAGTCGCGGTGGCTGTCTCTGACCGCTTCCGTTCCTCAGTCAAGAAGGTTACCCCTGTTGACGAGCGTATTCTGCTTGTGAGAATGAAGCACACTTTGGGCTTCATATCTCTAATTGCAATTTACGTTCCTGCTGAGGGAAGTGGGCTTGAAGAGAAAGAGATGTTCTACGCCAAACTTGACTCTATAGTGGATCAATGTCCCCGGGGGGACACCCTCATGGTCTTGGGGGACTTCAATGCAGTCACTGGCACTGACAGGGAAGGATACGAGCTATGCATCGGTCCCTATGGCTCTGGTACTAGGAACATCAATAGCTCATACCTCTTAGACTTCGCAAGATCTAGGAGGCTGAGGATTTCGGGCTCGTGGTACCAGAGACGAGATCTACACCGCTGGACTTGGTACTCCAATACTGGCGTTGTAGCTAAAGAGATCGACCATATTCTCGTGGATACTCGCTGGAGGATCCTTCAGAACTGTAGAGTTTTTAGTAGTGCTGAGTTCTTTGCTACCGACCACAGACTTGTTGTCGCAACACTAAGGCTCCGCCTCAGATCTAGACGCATCCCGAGATCTCACTAGCAGGCTCAAGAGTGAGGAGGTGGCTCAGGAGTATGCAGTGGCAGTCTCAAATCGGTTTTGAAGTGCTTGGTACTCTACAGGACCCTGCTGAACTGTGGGATACCTTTAAGCGAGGAACTCTGTTAGCTGCGAGGAGTGACTTGGTGTCCGACCTCGGCGAAGGAAGTGTGTTGTCTCAGACGTGACACTGAACACTATAGAGATGAGTCTTACTGCCAGACTGGATGGGAACCATGTCTTGCACAGGGAGCTGTCTCGGTCTGCTAGGGCCTCTTTGAGAGTGGACCAAGAGAGGTACGTTAGGGGCATTGTGGAAGAGTTGGAAGGTCATTTTGCCCAAAATGACCTTCGACCTGCTTTCCGAGCCCTGAGGGAACTCCGATCAAAGTCCATCTCTCAATCGGGCTTAGTGAGAGCAGAGGATGGTCGCATTGTGTCAGACCCTGGTGAGTATAGGGCTCGCTGGGCTGAGTACTTCGAGCAACTGTATAGGGTAGATCCCCCGTCTTCACAACTACCGTTGGCTGGCACACAGCCACTAGTGGCTGATCCACCAATCAGTGAGACACCACCATCCATCGAAGAGGTGAGAAGGGCAGTGTCTAAGCTGAAAAGTGGAAAGGCTGCTGGTGTCTGTGGGATTGCTGCAGAGTTGTTGAAGGCGGGTGGAGAAGCCATGATCTGTGGTTTGCATGCAGTCCTGTCTGCCGTTTGGGAGACTGGTACCATTCCCCCTGACTGGAAAAGGGGCTTGGTCATCCCTATCTGGAAAGGGAAAGGGGACCAAAAGGACTGTGGCAACTACAGAGGTATTACATTGCTCAGCGTACCAGACAAGGTCCTCGCTCATCTGCTTCTGGCACAAGTGCGCGACCACCTATTACGAGCACAGAGACCTGAGCAGTCTGGTTTTACACCCAAGAAGTCAACTATAGACCGTGTCTTAGCACTTCGTGTCCTTGTGGAACGCCGACTTGAGTTTCAACAGGGTATGTTTGCAGCTTATGTTGATCTCAAGAAGGCTTTCGACTCAGTGCACCGGGAGAGTCTCTGGAGCCT